TCAGCTCCTAGTTTTATTTATTAGTTCAATTATTTTTCGTTCAATTTTATTAATCTCTCCTTTGATTTTCAGGATTTCTGTTTTGTATTTATTTGAGAATTTTCAGTGTTGTTTTTCTAGGGCTTTTTTTTTAAGTTGCATGCCCAGTTTGTTGATCTGCTCTTTCTCTTTTTTATTGATGTAAGCATTTAGAGACATAAAATTTCCCCTAAGTACCACTTTCACTACATCTCACAGATTTTGGTATATTATCTCATTGTCATCATTATCTTTAATGAATTATTGATTGTTTCTATAATTTGTTCTTTGACCTATTCATTCTTTAGGATTAAATTACTCAGTTTCCAATTAATTTTTAATCTATACTTAAAAGGCCCTTTACTGAATATAATTTTTATTGCATTATGGTGCAAAAAAAGGTGCATTTAATATTTGTTTGTGAGGTTTCTATGCCATGCACAGTTGAGAAATAGGTATATTCCCTTCTATTCCCACTCAGTATTTTCCAGAGGTCTGTCGCATCTAATTTTTCTAAAACTCTATTCATTTTCTTAACGCCTTTCTTGTTTGATTTATGGTTCAATTTATCTCGGTCTGAGAGGGGCAAATTGTGATCCCCTACTAGTAACTCATTTGACTTTTCCTTCAAGAATTTGGATGTTATGCCATTTACTGAATGTATGTTTATTATTTATATTAATTCATTGTCTATGGTACCTTTTTAGCAAAATGTAGTTTCGCTGCTATCTATTTTAATCAGGTCTATTTTTGCTTTTGCTTTGTGTGAAATCATGATTACTCTATCTGCCCTTTTTACTTTAGCTAAGGTATAATCAATTCTGTTCCCATCTCTTATTTATATTCTGTGTGTCTTTCTATTTCAAATGTGTCTCTTACAAGAGACAAAGAACATATTGTTGGATTCTAGTTTCTAATCTATTATGCTATCCTCTTCTGTTTTATGGGTTAGTTCATCCCATTTACATTCACAATTGTGATTGCTAACTGTATGTCTCTCCATCCTATTCTCTTCTATTTATCTTTCTTTTTTTATCTTGTTTCTCCCTCAAAATTCTGTTTTTTCTCCCTTAATTTACTCTCCTTCTTATGATCCTCCCCGCTCTATCTTAGCCCCTTCCCCTCCTACTTTCCTGTTAGATAAGATGAATTTCTATGCCCAACTGTGTGTATGCATATATATATGTGTGTGTTTATATACGAACACACACACACACATTTTTTTTCTTCCCTCTTTGAACCATTTCAGATGAGAGTGAGGTTCAAGTGTTACCCATTCCTGCCCCCTACCATTTTTCTTGCATGCCTCTTTTATGTGAAATAATTTTCCCCCTTCTTCCTCTCCCTTTTCCCTTTTCCCAAAGCATTCCTTTCTCAACCTTTCATCCTTTTTTTGAGATGATCCCAATATGATAGGCTCTCACCTATATTCTGTATCTAAGTAGACTCCTAACTGCCCTAATGATGATAAAGTTCGTAGGGGTTAAGTTTATCATCTTCCCACATAGGAATGGTAAACAGTTTAACCTTATTAAGTCCCTTATGATTTCCTACTTATATTTACTTGTTTATGCCTCTTTTGGATCTTATGGTTGAATGTCAAATTTTCTTTTCAGCTCTGGTCTTTTTCACTGGGAATGCTTAGAAGCCCTTATTTCATTAAGTGTCCATTTTTTCCCATGCAGGATTATACTCCGTTTTTCTGGTTAGGTTATTCATGGTTGTAATACTAGCTCCTTTGCCTGCTAGAATTTATCATATTCCAAGCCTTCTACTCATTTTCGGTGGTGGCTGCTAATTCTTGTGTGATCTTGATTGTGCCTTTATGGTATTTGGATGTTTTCTTTCTCTGCTTGCAATATTTTTTCCTTGACCTGGGAGCTATGGAATTTAGCTATAATTTTCCTAGAAGTTTTCATTTTGAGATTTTTTTTTTCAGGTAGTGATCAGTGGGTTCTTTCGGTTTCTACTTTGTCCTCTGGTTCTAAGATATCTGGGCAGTTTTCCTTTATAATTTCTTGAAATATAATATTTATGTTCTTTTTTTTTGATGATGGCTTTCAAGTAATCCAATAATCTTAAATTATCTCCCCTTTTCCTATGAGATATTTCCCATTTTCTTGTTTTAGTCTTTTGACTTTGCTTTCTTGTTTCTTGATGTCTCATGGTGTCATTAGCTTCCACTTGAGCAATTCTGATCTTTAATGAGTTATTTTCTTCAGTATTTTTGTACCTCTTTTACCACGCTGTTATGCAGAGTAGTTGGTGGTACAGTGGGTAGAGTACCAGTCATAGAGTCAAGAAGGCCTGAGTTCAAATCTAATCTCAAGCATTTATTGTCTGTGTGACACTGGACAAGTCACTTGACCTCTGTTTGCCTCAACTGTAAAGTGGGAATAATAGTACTATTTACCCCCCCCCTTGGTGTTGTGAGGATCAAATGAGACAATATTACTGCTTAGCATATTGCTTGGAACATAATAAGCTCTGTGTGTATGTATGCTATTGTTGTTATTGTCATTATTATAATTACTATTATTTTACCATTAGAAGTTCTTTTCTTCAGCTTTTTTTTTTGCCTCTTTTCCTAAGCTGTTAGTTCTTTTTTTCAGTTTTTTTGCATCATTTCTCATTTCTTTTCCCAGTTTTTCCTCTGACACTCTTATTTGATTTAAAATTGTTTTGTTCTTTTTTAAATTTCGTTTGTTAGGTCTTCTGGGGATTCTTTCTGGGCTTGTGTCCAATCTGCATTTTTCTTTGAGGTTTTACTTGTGGATGTTTTCAAGTCGTTATCTTCTTCTGAGTTTGTGTCTTGAGTTTCCCTGTCACCACAGAAGCTTTTAATTGTCAGGTTCTGTTGTTGTTGTTTGCTCATTTCTCCAGCCTATTTCTTGACTTTGGACTTTGTTTTGGAGTTGGGCTCTGCTCACCTCTGCAGGGGTGTGTGGCTGGCCTGAGCTTCTGTATTTTATGGTCTCCTGATGCTTTCACAGCTCAGTGGGGGGCCTATAAATTTTTGGTGTGTCCAAGGTGGTGTGATACAGAGAGAGGTCTGGTCACTGCCCTCCTACTCTGGTCCTTACCCAGCTAGGGCTTCCAATCCCTCACAACCATAATTGCTCCTTTCTTCCCTCAAACTTCAATCCAGAACTGGGAGAGGAGCAGCAGAGCCACCAAACAGCAGTCATCCTGCTCCCAACAGCAGTACAGGGGTTTCCTGGGATCTCTTTCTGATCAGAGGTTCAGCCTACCACTGAAGCTTCCTAGCTGCTGCCACTTCCACCAGCTAGCCTCCACCCCAGTGTCCACAGATTTCTCTTTCTGTCTTCCCAAGCTGCCCTAGACTAGAAAAATGACTTACTGCGATTTTCCTGGGTTTCCTACTCATAATTCAGTTTGGCATATTACTTAAGCTTTTTTTTTTTTTGTGGAGGAAATGTGTTGGGAGAGCTCAGCAAAAAATGCTGGCTTCACAGTGGCTAGGTAGCACAGTAGATAGAGCAGTGGCCCTGGAGTCAGGTGGACCTGAGTTCAAATCTGGCCTCAGACACTTGACGCTTCCTAGCTGTGTGACCCTGGGCAAGTCACTTAACCCAGATTGCTTCACCCAAAAAAAAATGCTGGCTTCATTCTGCCATCTTGGCCCTTCCATCTTGGCTCCACCCCTCCACAGCTTCCTTTTCAATATAATCTGATCCATTTTAAAACCTGATATTCCAGAAAATGTGGGCATGAGTGTGTCCCAGTGCCTTAGAGGTAGAAGAGACCTTGGCAGGCAGCTAATCTAACTCATGTCTTGGGAAAATACCTTTCCCAGTGTCCTCAACAAGTACTCATCCGTTTGTTGCCTGAAGAACTTCAGGAAGAAGGATCTCACTACCTCCAGAGGAAACCCATTCCACTTTGGACTAATGCTCAGGAAGTTTTTCAAGACATCTGGCTAATACCGGCTTCTTGGCACCTTCCACCCATTGTTCTGCCCTCTGGGGCCAAGAGGAGCAAGGCTAATCCTCTTCCCCATGACAGCCCTTCTAAGATTTGAAGAAACTTTTCCTATTCCCTCTATGTCTTCTCTTCTTCAGGCTCAGTACTCCTAATTCCTTCACCTGACTCTCATATGGCATGGTCCTTCAAGACCTTTCACCATCCTGATGACCCTTTTCTGAACAATGTAAATTCCTAGTGTGATATCTAGAAAGTTTGAGAGACATAGTTTCTGGGTAATTAATCATCTTATTAATAATGCTAGTATTTTATAATAAAAGATGTCAGTGGTACTTTCAAATGCCAAAGAACTTCATCATGGCGGGCTCACAACTTATATGCTCTTGGAAAAGTAGGTGTTCCTGAGGGTGGCAATCAATGCTGATTGGTTAACAATTAATGAGTAAATGAATATCAGAATGAGATGTGGACTCATTCTAATGAGGGTCTTGGGGGTACATGACTTGGATCACCCAAGTGTTGGTCAAAGAGACTTATCAATATACATATCAAAGAGGGAATCCACTACCACCCCAGACCTGTGTGACCAAATACAATGAATAGGAATTTGCCAATTCCCTCCCAATAGGTTGGTCCTCAGACAACAAACCAACACTTGATGCTATTCTGGTGAAAATTCTTCATGCAGTTGGTTCAACAGGGACCATAAACTTACACACACACACACACACACACACACACACACACACACACACACACACGCCCTCTACTAGAGGGGTAAGGTTTCCATCCCCTTGAAATGCGATCTGAATGCCTGCTCCCTTCACCGTTTGATTTTTCCTAGGCAGCGGGCAGGGGTTGTCTCTCCCTGACACTAGTCTCTACCCCCATTAAGGGCCTGCTTAAGTGCTTCTGGATACTGATTAATGGCCTGTGAAGGGCTCGGAGCATCATTATCATGGGTGCCCGAGCCCCCCTGACATTGCCCTTTGGGTCTTTAACAGTAATCATAATTTATGTCTCTGATGTGATTACAGGGCAAGTTCTATCTGGTGATTGAAGAGCTGAGCCAGCTGTTCCGGTCACTCGTTCCCATCCAGCTGTGGTACAAATACATCATGGGAGATGACCCCTCCAATAGCTATTTCCTGGGAGGGGTCCTCATCATCCTTTACAGCCTTTGCAAGGTAAGGTGCCATGGGGAGGAGATTTCCCATAACAGTAGAAACATATGGTTCTTCTCCAGCAAGAAAGGAGGGGGAAAAAAGCCCCCACTGTATCATTACCATTATCTCTTGCCTATGAAGTGGACCATATGTATAGTGCCCATGAATCAAATTAGTCTAAATTAGCCCATGACACTGTGCACTCCATATTTTTGCTTAGCCTCAGAGAGCAAAGGGTAGAAAGAAAAGAGTGTTATTGGTAGCCATACATGGTAGGGATTTCTGGTTTGGATTTTTTTTCCCCCTAAACTACTATAAAATTGTGGTCCATGAACTGGACCATTAATTTCATTAGCATAGGGAACTCTCAGTAAAGAACTCCTACCAATGCAGGTCAGCACTTTCTCTGCAACTCAGAGAAATGCTCAGAGCACCTAGGTGTTAAGTGATTTGTCCAGGGTCTTGTGGCTAATACGTGTCGGAGAGGCAACTTAAACTTAGGTCTTCTTGACTTCTAGGCTTGTTTTCTATCTACTATACCACAATGCCTCATCTCTCTCTAGGTTTATCAAGTGTAAAATGATTATGGTTTCCCCACTGCCCCTCACACTCTTTCATATAGTAACAGAGAACTGAGAGACACGATTTGTAGCCTCATTCCTGCTACTAGGTCACTGTATAACTTTGGGAAATGGACATTACCCCTCTGAGTGTTTTCTCATCTAGAAAATGACAGAGTTGGACTAATTTGTATAATATCATTAGAACACAGGACTTAAGAGATTACTAATGGGTTTACATCAATCATAGGATCATCAGTTTAAAGCGGAAAGGGACCTTAAAGAACATTGACTTCACCCCCCTTATTTTACAGACGAGGAAACTGAGTCCCAAAGAGATTAAGTGATTTGCAAAGGTTTCACAAGTATCTAAGATGGGATTTGAACCTAAGTCTTCCTGACTTCAAATCCCTGATCTCTTGGAGTTTCCAGCTCTCAAGAGACTGCTGTATGGACTAAATCAATCAAGAGACAATAAGTAAGCATTAATTAAGCATCTGTTATATATATAGGTTCTAGGATTACAAAGTTTAAAACAGAACAGCCCCTGCTTTCACAAAGCTTAATGGGGGGGAAGGGCAACAATATCTACTCAAATGTAAAAAATGTATAAAATATTTTAATACATAAATATTTTTATATTTATTTTTATATTTTATATATTACTGTATTATAATATAGTATATATTCATATAAAATGTATTTTATATATTTAATATATAAATAAATATTTTAATATATTAAATATATAATAAAACTATATAGTACAGAGTTAGCGTTAATGAGGTAATGTGTTTGGGAGCCCTTTGGGAAGTAATGAGTACCAGCCACATGGGAGACATCACAGATGGAAATGACAATTTCTTTTCCTAAAATCTAGGGCCGTTATGGAACCTCTACACCTTGTGTGTTATACAGTTAGCACTTAGGATTATAGATGTGGCACTGGAAGGGGCCTCTTCTACATTTTTAATGGATTCTCTAAGTGGAGTCTGATTCCCTGCCCCACCCCTGGCCCAGGGCTGGTGGATATAGTTGGAATGGACCATCTCCTATGGGGATGGAAAATAGTTGGTCATCTGTCTCTCTCCTTTCAGTCATTTGACATCTGTGGCCGGCTGGGCGGAGTAAGGAAGGCCCTGAAGCTTCTCTGCACCCCTCAGGTGAGTCATATTCAAACAAAGGTCTGTAATAAGTTGGGTGGTCAACTGAAGAAGATTCAGGTGCTCCCTCCCTTACAATGCCCCTAAGAAGTTTATAAGGTTCAGGAAACATTGACCATCGGTCAGAGAAGGCTCTCGGTCTCTTGTTAACCAGTATTTATGAAGCACTTCCTGAGTTCCAGGAGCGGTGCTAAGCCCTACGTGTTGGTGTATATTCTAGTGGAAGGAGGAAACATGTCAGCTGCAGCTGGCAGTGGGGGAGAGTAAGGGAGTGGGGGAGGGGCAAGATGCAACAGCAATGATGAAAGTCATCTGTTAGGTGCCTCCTATGAGCAGAGCATTCCTGGGGGAGGTACAAAGCTTGGAGAAGGCACAGTCTTTGCCCTCATGGAGCTTACAGTCCAGGAGGAGAAAAAGATACAATGTAGATGCTGTTACATACACTATTACATGATAACGCAATTATGTAGTGTTACAGGATAATGTAATGTATGTTTGAGAGTTACAAAATACAGTGGTGGTGCCACAGTGCATAGAGCCCTGGGCTTGGAATTAGGAAGACTCATGTCCATGAGCTCAAATCCAGCCTTAGACACGTTCTAGAAGTTTGACCCTGGGCAAGTCACTTCACTCTGTTTGCCTCAGTTCTTCATCTGTAAAACAGGCTGGAGAAGGAAATGGCAAACCACTCCAGTATTTCTGCCAAGAAATACCCAAGGGGCAGGGGGCGGGGGTCTCTAAGAGGCAGACATGACTGAAACGACTCAAAAACAATAAATGTGAGGTCTGAGGGAGGAAGCTAGTTAGCAGTCAGAGGGAACAGACTGTAGCAGTGGGCTTGGAAGGGATAGAGAGGCAGGCAGCAAGCAGATCAGCCAGTCAGTAAGCATTTATTAAGCATCAGCTATGTAGCAGGTGCTATGCTAGGCACTAAAGACAGAAAGACAAATATGGAACCGTCCCTGCCCTCAGGGAACTCCGGTCTATCAAGGGCAACGGCACGTTCACACATAAGTACATTCAAAATATATACAAAGTCATTTCAGGAATGGGATGTGACCAAGGGAGTGGGGGAGGGATCAGGAGAAGCATCCTGGTGGAGAGAGCATTGAGGCTTTGCTTGGAAGGCAGCTAGGGATTCTGAGTGTTAGAGGTGAAGCGAGAGAGCCTTTCAGATATGGGAGTTAGCCCATGCAGAGGCTGGGAGATGGAGAGTGACAGAATTCCAGTCATTCATTCAACAGACATTTATTATTATTATTATTATTATTATTATTATTATTTTTGGTTAGGCAGTGGGGTTAAGTGACTTGCCCAGGGTCACACAGCTAGTAGGTGTCAATTGTCTGAGGCCAGACTTGAACTCAGGTCCTCCTGACTCCAGGGCCAGTGCTCTATCCACTGTACCACCTAGCTGCCCCTCAGCAGACATTTGTTAAGTGCTTACTTTATACCTGGAATCCAGGCCTGGAGAAGAGCCTGTGCCCCATATCTACGGACAGCATGCTGTCTTTAACTGTGAAAGCCAGGCCTCTCTTTCCCCTTCTTCCCCATATAGAACTATGGAGTTCGGGCTACAAGCCAGCAATGTTCTGAGGCTGGTGAGATCTGTGCCATTTGCCAAGCTGAGTTCCGGGAGCCTCTGGTCCTGATGTGCCAGGTGAGTGAGGGTCCCCTGTTCCTCATCTGGGAGGAGCTGAGGGAGCTAGGAACCTTAGACTTTCTGAGTGGGAAGAGACCTCAGGGGCAGAGTCCACCATACCTGACCAGGAACCCCCTTTATACCATCCCATAGACGTGGTCGCCTCCTCCTGAAGGCTTCCAGTAACCTCCCCAATCAGCCCATCCCGCTCCCAGCCAGCATGTCTTGTTAGGAAGTTTTTCCCGACATCGTCGCTAAGCCTGTCTCCTTGCAGCTTCCCCCCATGGCCCCTGGGTCTGCCCACTGGGGCCAAGCCTAACTAGTCTCATTCCTCTTCCATGTGACAGCCAGCCCTTGGAAGGACTGTGTGAAGTCACAGCCCCTGGGGCCCTGGGTCATGTGAAGGAGACGGCTGATGACTGTGGCCAGGCCCCATGGGGTGGCGGTCCAGATTACCAAGCCTCAGAGCACCTGGGGAGGAGGGGGGCTGTGGTTCAGAGAGCTGCCTGTGGTCACAGGTCACATACTGCAGGAGCTGTTAAGCCCCTGAGCCATTCCCCAAGCGTGGCCCGCTTCATGCCCCTTAAAAAGAGAATGTCGACAGCCCCTCTCGTCTCTCCATTTTAAAAGGCCCACGAGCAAACTGAACACTCTTCCCAGAGCCCTAGTAGATTAATTCAATAACCTGCTGTTAATTTAATAAGCATTTATTAAGTACTTACTATGTGCCAGGCACTGTACTAGGCCCTGGGATATAAAGATAAAAAGAAAACATTCCCTGTCCTCAAGAAGCAGCCATTCTCTTAAGGGAAGTACAGTGTATATAACACAGGGGCATAACTAAAACATTACACAAAGTAAATGTAAAGTAATTTCTGGGGGGAGGGGACATCAGGATGGTCTTCCTTTAGGAGACAGTACTTAAGATCCTAGATTTTTATTTTTTTTAATTTTATTTCTTTTTGGTGAGGCAGTTGGGGTTAAGTGACTTGCCCAGAGTCACACAGCTAGTAAGTGTCAATTATCTGAGGCTGGACTTGAACTCAGGTCCTCCTGACTCCAGGGCCAGTGCTCTATCAACTGTGACACCTAGCTGCCCCCAAGATCCTAGATTTAGAGTCCAAAGAGATCCCATGGGCCATCTAGTCTAACCCCCTCATTTTACAGATGAGGAAACTGAGGCAAACAGGGTGAAGTGATTTGCCCAGGGTCACACAGCTAGTAAGTGTCTGAGGCCAGATTTGAACTCAAGAAGATGAGTCTTCCTGACTTCAGGCCCCAGCACTCTATCTAGTGCACACCTAGCTGCCCTAGGGCACCTCTACAAACATTGAAATCACAGATCCTTAAATATAAAATGTATGCCTTGTCTCCCTGTTAGAATATAAGTTCCTTAAGCTTCCTGAAAGAAGGGTCAATTTTTTGTTTGTTTCCTTTGAATCCACAAAGCCTAGCATCTCCAGCCTGTCTTCAGTTCCCCTTTATATGTTGTTTTCCCCCACTAGAATGCAAGTTCCTTGAGGGCAGGATTGTCTTTCTGTTTTTGATTATATTCTTGCACACTGTAGGCTCTTTTTTTTTCCATAGTAGGCCCTTAATAAATACTTGTTGACTTAATAAATACTAGCACTGTGCCTAAATATAGCAAGTGCTTAATGCAAGCTCATTGGATTAGTTTACTTTGCACGTGAATTTAGCATCATGACATAGTAGAAAGAGCTGTGGATTTGTTATCTGTAGACCTGGGTTCAGATTCCAGTTCTGCCATTTTCTTAACCCATATGACCTGGTGCAAATCATTTCCATTCTCTTAGCCTCCATTTCCTCTAGAAAATGACAGTTGGATTACATTCCCCAAAGGGTCCATTTTCTAGCTCTAAATATAGAATCCTATGAATTTTGTACCCCCACCCCACAGCATCCAGCCCAGTGCTTTGCACACGGCAGGTACTTAATAAATGTTCAGTGGGTGTTGAGAATGATTCCTGTTGTGTGAACTTGGTTGACTAGAAGGATGATAATGCCCTCAATGGAACTGAGGAAGCCAGGAAGGGGGGGTAGTGTGGGACGGAAGGTACTAAGTCATGTTTTGGACATGTTGAGATGTTTGAGATGCGGTGGGAGCACCAAGGCCCACAAGGTGGTCCTCCTTTCACTATGCTCCTTGTCCTCGTAGCATGTCTTCTGTGAGGAGTGTCTCTGCCTTTGGTTCGACCGGGAGAGGACCTGCCCTCTCTGCCGCTCGTTGCCGTGGAAACCCTGCGATGCTGGAAGGATGGTACCACCTCTGCCCATTTCCAGGTGTATTAGGTCAAAAGGCTCTCATGGTGGAAGAGTGGAAGAGATTTTGGGAAAGATCCCCGGATCTCCATCACACATCAGTCTCATCCCAACGTGGCATCCTGTCCTCGGCCACACTCCGTGAATGCCAGGCTGGTGAACAATTTCTAGTATGGGTATCCTTTAGGATAGGCTTTGTTCACCTTGGATCCAGAACTGAGATTCTCACCTGAGCTCCCTTCTCCATCCTCCCCTCACTTCTCCATAGGCTGATGAAATCCCTTGACCTTGACAATATCCTCATCTCTTTTCAACCAGGACCCCTAAGTCAGCCCTGAAGAATCGGACACAGTTACGTCTGTTGCCTGTCTTCTAGCCTTTTTCAGCCCTCAGAAAGTAGTAGATAATCTTGGTCACCTAGCTGTAGCCCCTCCCCATCTAGGTGGTGTGGTGAAGAGACCACTGGACTTGGAGTCAGGAAGAATTGAGTTTGAATGCTACCCCAATAGATGTTCACTGTATAACTCTGGCTAAGTCAATTAGTAGCTAGCATATAACCTCTCTGAGCCTCAAATTTCCACATCTGTAAGATGGGAATAATAACACCACCTACCTCACAGGGTTGTTGTGAGGTGAAATGAGATAACTTTGTAAGTACTTTGCAAACCCTAGAACTCTATGTAAATGCTTCTATTAGTATTAGTTGTAACATGGTGACCTGGCTCCTGGATAGGGTTGATGGTTTGGGCTATCATCTGGGTCACTGGAGAGAGGAGCAAAAATGGACACAAATGTTGGGAACCAAAGATTTTCATGAAAAGAAACCCTCCTCCCATTTAGTGAATTGGGCGTGCTCCTATTCCATACTAGGCACTGTCCTCCATGCTGGAGGTGGTAGGTAAACCTCTAAGAAAATGCTGGATGGCCATCCTGTCAGAGACTCTGTAGTGTGGATTCCTGAGTGGGTCAAATTGAAGTAGATAGCCTGGGGGCCCTGTGCATCTCTGAGTGATTCTGAGAAACTCTAGAAAGCCCTGTGGTCCACAGGCTGGGAGGGATAACCACATTCAGGGATGGGGTGGGCAATCTGCCACCTGGATGTAGACGGCTCTCAACGCCTCCACCAGCACATACAGCTTTGTCCCCTTCCGCACACTCCTCCTTGCTTCATCTCCCATCCTCATTCTTCCTCTGCCTCCTCTCCTCTTCCTCCCTCTCATAACTGCCTCCTATTCATATGTGAACCACCTTGTATTCATATAATTTATATACTGATATGTGAACATGTCATCTCCCCATTAGAGTATAAGCTTCTTGAGGGGTGGATTTCTGTATTCCCAACACTTAACAGAGCTGCTTGTTCACTGACTAACCAGTGCCCTTGCCTGTGCCTGCCAGGGCCATCCATAGGCATTACTTCATCCTCCTGGTGGCCCTGAGGGGATGTGGGGTTATGGCACTGAGCCCAGTTGTACTTAGGCTTCTTTGCTCTATTTTTTATTTTGGCTAGGCAATGGAATTAAGTGACTTGCCCAGGGTCACACAGCTAGTGAGTGTTATGTATCTGAGGCCACATTTGAACTCAGGTCTTCTTGACTCCAAGGCCGGTACTCTATCCACTGCACCACCTAGCTGCTCTGGTTTTTCTAACTTAAGCTATGAGGCAAATTTGATTTTATTTTCTACTCTCTCTTTGAGAGAGGTCCTGGTGTAGTGGCTAGAGAATAAGCCTTAGAATCAGGAAGACCTGGGTTCGAGTCCAGCTCAGACAGGTGCTTGATTTGCAGCCATATGTGAGTCAAATTGAATCTTATGGCTCCCATTCTATAAGCCTGTACATCGCAAAACTTTGTCAGTGTGCGTCAGTGTAGGGAATTTCCACACTAGACATTCTCTACTTCCATGATACGATGGGTAAAACCCTTTCTTCCAGCTTCTTCCCCAACCAACCTAGGACCAGAAGATCTGAGATTTAGGGCTAAAAGGGGTTTCAGATGCCATCTAATCTGACCCCTCATTTTAAAGATGAGGAGACCGAGGTCCAGAGAAGGTTACACCAGCTGTGAATTTGAACCCAGTCCTTCGACTCCAAATCTACTCTTTCTACTACCTGTACTGCTGCTTATTCCACAGAGAGACTTACAAAAGAAAACATCTAGACTCCCATTTCCATTTTTAATATTATTTTATTTTTATTGATTTATTGTTCAGTCGTTTTTCAGTCATGTCTGACTTTCTGTGACCCTGTGTGGGGTTTTCTTGGCAGAGATACTAGAGTAGTTTGCCATTTCCTTCTCCAGCTCACTTTACAGATGAAGAAACTGAGGCAAACAGGGTGAAGTGACTTGCCCAGGGACACGTAGTTAGTAAGTATCTGAAGCTAGATTGGAACTCAGGTCTTTCTGATTCCAGGCTCAGTGCTCTATGCACTGCGCCACCTGCCTGTTCCATTTTTATTGATCGATTTTGTTTTTACATCACCTTCATTTCTGACCCAGAAAAGCAATTCAGCAAAACCAACGGATACATGAAGCATGTACACTACTTCTCACCCACACCCCACACCCCAGCCTTTGCAAAGAGGGGAAGGAGATGCGTTTTCTCTACTCTTCTCCAGGGTCAAGCTTGATTGTTATAATTACACAGCATTCCATCTCAGAGTTTTTTGTTTTGTTTTGGGTGAGTTCTCACGTTTCGCTTTGCATAGCGACCACAAAAGCCCCAGGCATCCTCTGCCTATCCCTCTGTGGTCTTCCAGCCATCTTGCTCTCAGCCTGGGCCGTAGCACCACTCGCTGATGCCAAAGCTCACGAAGTGTATAGGTTTTCAGAGAAGGTGGGGGAGGGGGAGCAGCCTGTCTGGTTAATAAGCTGATTATCCCACAGTCCTCGGGAGCGAGGCTGAGCCGTCTTGCTGTCACCAAGCCCCCAGACGGGATTATCCGAGCGCTTCCATCCCAGCAGCCATGGGGCATTTCTTGGGGGCACGGAGCGAGCTGGGATCTTCTCCATAGCTCAACAATTTTGGCGTTTTCCCGGCTCCCAATGACAGATCACCTTCCGGGGCAGAGTGGCATCTTTCATGCTCTGTTACTATGGAAATAGCTATGATGTTCAAATCCCACTTGCTCAGACAAACAGGCAGGAAGGAGGGCACCTGGGGGAGAGGCTGTTCCATCTATGCATCTCCTTCTTTTCTCTTTCTATTAGCCTTAAGGAAGAAACCAGAGGCAAGCAACGGGAGGCCAGGCAACTGGTTTATCATGAAAATTTCCCTGCATGCAGACACAGCAGAGGCATGATAAATTAGAGCCCAAGAAGGCTTATTAGCAGAGGCCGGGTGTGATCTAGCAGAGAAAACGGTTTGGGGAGGTATCAGGAGACCCCAAATTGGGTTTCTAGCTCCCCTCACTCAATCCATGATCTTGTAGAAGCCCTCAGGCACTGTCTTTGCTGGGAAACGGAAGCATATGGACAGGCTGAGCCCAGGAGAGAATGCAACCCTTCCTAGACAGGCAGAGGGGACTCCTGGTGAATCGAGGTCGCTGGGGACTGGGGAGAAATCTCCCACGCCTCTGTTGTTGGCTCTCTGGATTTGTCCCAGTGAGTAGCGCAGTTCTCTGCATCAGGTCATTGGATCACAACGCCACGGTCCAGAGGATCTGATTCCCCAAAACACACTCAGTGGAGAGTTCCCACAAAGGCACTATTGGTCCCTATCTAGGAAGAGCTGGACCAGAAGCCATCTGGTCCAACCCCTTCATTTCACAGAACATGAGACCCAGACCTTGGAGTTAGAGCGCAAGGGACTTCAGAGGCGGTCTAATCCAACCCGCTCTGTTTTATAGAAAAGGAAACAAACCCAGGTAACTTTTTCAGGGTCTTAAGAGGTGGGATTTGAACCCAGATTCTCTGGCTGCAAATCTCTTGCCCTTTCCACTATAGCATGCTGGCTCCTATAGTGAAAAATGAGGATTTTACAGATCTCTAGATTTTGAACTGGAGGACCTCAAAGGCCAGGGAGTCTAATCCCTTCATTTTTCAGAAAAGGAAACTGAGGCCCAGGAAGGTGAAAGTGATTTCCTGTGGTTGTGAAGCTAGGTAAGGAGCATAGGTGAGATTTGAACCCAGCTCCCCCTGCTCTAAATCCAGCTCTCTTTCCAGCAGATCACTCTATGAACATGGCAAGAACTCCCATGAATATAGTACTTTTTTTTTTTAATGTGTGCAAGTTTGCAAAATGTAATCCTTCCTGCCTCCCTATAGAGTGCATTGGGCAAGTCTAATCATCCCCATTTTACACATGAGACTTGGGGTCTATGGAGGTCTATGGAGGTGACGTGACTTATCTAAGGCCACATAGCATAGTAGAGAGGAATCCTAGGTTCCTAGATCTAGAACTGCATAGAACCTTGGAGGCCATTGAGTCTGCCCCTCCCCCATTTTACAGATGAAGAAAATGAGACACAAAGGTTAAGTCACTTGCCCAGGATTCCACAACTGAGTAGATAGCACATGTTACTCCATTAAGGAGTACATTAGTAAATATTAAAGGCAGGACTTGAACCCAGATCTTCCTGACTACAAAGCTGGCTTTCTGTCCAACACCATGCTGCCTCTTTGAGATCTGGGGGATCCAGGCAGGTACCGCATGAGGAGGTACTTGAAGGATGGATGGGTAAACTTTTAACAGGTAGAGATGAGAACTAGGCTTTTTAGAATGGGGTAACCACTTCTCGGGGGTGGTACAGCATTGCTGGACTTGCCCAGTGGCAGGTCTGTGACGTGGCATACCCCAGGCACTTTCAATGGCATACGTGTCCTTTCAGTGGGGGCAACTCTTTGACTCCTTCACCAAACATCTGACAACAGCTGTTACTGCGGCACAGTGGATAAAGCCCTGGGTTAAAATTCTGCATCTGCCACTGACCAGCTGTGTGCCCTTGGACCAAGCACAACTTCTCTGATGGAGGGGGCAGCCAATTGGCAAAGATGGCCAATGATGGGAATACTCAGGTATTAGAGGGGTTGTTCAAAGACGGGCATGTTAGGGCCCTGTGAATAGAGCTATGAATTGTTCAATGCATTCTATTATTTTTTATTTTTCTTATTTTTTTGGGGGGGGGCTAGGCAGTGGGGTTAAATGACTTGCCCAGGGTCACACAGCTAGTAAGTATTATGTGTCTGAGGCTGATTTTGAACTCAGGTCCTCCTGAGTCCAGGGCCGGTGCTCTATCTACTGCACCACCTATCTGCCCCTAATCAATCCATTCTAGAAAGCAGTTTGGATGTATGGGAGGTAAGTATGGACTACAGCGTCCACAGCCTTAGACCCAGAGATCGTACTGCTAGGAACATGCCTCGAGGTGGTCAAAGACTAAAATAATGGTCATATAGACACCAAAATATTTATAACAGCACTTTTTGTAGTGGTAGAGAACTGGAAACAGAGTATTGGTGCCCATCAGTTAGGGAATGGCTTGAGGAAGTTGTGGTCCATAAATGTAATAGAGCATAATGTGCTACAAGAAACAATGACTACGATGGTATAGAAAGCACAGGGAGGCCCATGCGTACTGATACAAGGTTGATAGGAGGACCAGGAAAATGAGATATGCACTGACTACGATTCAGATGCAAAGAATAATAAAGTGGTGTGCACTGAATACTGTGGAATTATAATGATTGAGCTGGCCTTGAGATAGGAGAATCCTCCTTCTCTTCTTTGCAGAGACGGGTGACTGTTGGCCAGGAACATCCCACACACTAATGTCAGACTTTTTCAATGCATTGGTTAGTTTCCCCATCGCCACCTCCCCTGCCTTTAATTTTATTATAAGGGATGGCTTTCTGGCAGGAGGGGAGAGAGAGATACTTTGGAAGATGCAGGTATTATTAAAGTAATTAAAATTTATTTTAAAAAAGAAACAACATGAGGAATCCAGAGAATCATGGGAAGACCTATATGAACTGATGCAAAGCAAGAACCAGGAAAACGTAATATACATTGACTACAGCAATGTAAATGGAAAGAGTAATAATGACAAAATATGGGAGCTGAATGTTATGAAATTATGCCACATGTGCATAGCCCCAAAGAAGAGACTTGAAAAGCCACTTCCCTCCCTTTTTTGAAGAGGTGAGAGACTATGGGTGCGGAAAACTGTATACAAGGTCAGCGTTTTCAATGCATTGCTGACTTTTGCTGACCTGCTCTCCCACTCTCTTTTAAAATTCTTTATTACAAGTAATGGCCCTTAGGAAGGGAGAAGGAGGGCTACATTGGTAAATGCAGGCGATAAAAATTTATTTTTAAAAAATCATGGAGGAAGGAGGAAAACAAGCTTTTTTTTTTTTTGCCAAGGCAGGGTTAAGTGACTTGCTCAGGGTCACACAGCTAGTAAGTGTCATGTATCTAAAACTGGATCTGAACTCAGGTCCTCCTGACTCCAAGGCCGGAGCTTATCTACTGCGCCCCTAGCTGCCCCTGAAAACAGGCATTTTTAAAATGCCAATTTTTTTTCCAGGTGCTTTATAATTAATTATCTCATTTAATCCTTTAAACAACTCTGGGAAGTTTTGTCCTTGTTCAGTCATTTTTCAGCCATGTCCGACTCTTTGTGACCCCATTTGGGGTTTTCTTGGCAAAGATACTAGAGTGCTTTGCCATTTCCTTCTCCAGCTCATTTGACAGATGAGAAAACTGAGGCAAACAGGGTTAGGTGACTTGCCCAGGGTCACACAGCTAGTGTCTGAGGCTGGATTTGAACTCAGAGCTTCCTGACTCCAGGTCTATTGTACCACCTGGCTGCCCTCTGGGGGCCTTCCCAGCTCTCTGTCAATGATCTACTAATGCAGAGCCCCAAAGGGGACCATAGATTGGCCTGGAATCAGTGAGGAAGAAGGGAACTGAGCTCCTCTTTCCCATCACCGCTAGGCTAGGGCACTGTGGGGGTGAAAATCTGAGAGCAATCTGCTTCTATTTGCATGCTCATTAACATGTTAATTGAATGGATCGCCTACATTAGCTGGTATGATCTCTGTGCATTTGAATCAGGCTGCTTGGAATGAGGACCTGAGAGCAGCAGGCAGAAGGATATTCTTTCTCCTCCATCCCACGTGGCAGGAAGGTTTTCTTTAGTCTTTCACTAAAAAATGAGATAATCAGAATTGTGCTTCCCGTTTCTATGGCATTTTAAGGTTCACAGTAGCCCCTGGAAGATGGAGAGTACGAATATCATTCCTATTTCATAGATGAGGAAACTGAAGTTAATCATCTGGCCCAGGGTCACACTCTCGGTGATTGAATGGATCTTTGCCCTGGAGCAGGAAGAGATCTCAAAAGCCATCTAGTCTAACACCGCAACCCCCCCCCCCACTCCAGCCTTTATTTATAAATGAGAAAATTGAGGCCCAGGGCAGTGAAGTGACTTGCACAGGGTCACACAGCTTTAGAGGTAGGATTTGAATCTTCTCAACTCCCAAATCTAGCACTCATAGCTCAGGAGCACCAGGGAGTCTGTGTTTACTCTTCCTATCCAGTCTCCTGTGTGGATCGATTCAGGCTTCAGTCTTCAGGCTTCAAAACAGGGAAGAAAATCCCGAAGGAACAGCCCCTTCCCACTCCTCAGACCCCACCCACTTCTGTAGCCCTCAGATGAGAAAAATGAAAAGATCGAGCAAGACTTTGGGCTCAAGAGCACACTGAATTTTTTAATAAAGTCATTATAAATATGTACAAAGTGTTTTCAAGGTATGAAATCCTTCTTACAAAAGATAGCACAGCAAACTTGTCATATCAGAAACCAGAAGGGCGTGTTCTTAAAGCTTGTTGCACGCCCATGGAGGGCACGTAACACATGGGGACCTGCCAAGCCACACGGTTAAACCTCTAAAACCCACTACAGAAACATTCTGTGCCCAATTCCAGGACTCCCCCATAACAAGAGTTCTTCACCTGATTCATGTCCTGGAACCCCTGGGCAGTCTGGTGAAGCCTAGAAGTCCCTTCTCAGAAACACATTTTTAAATTACTAAAATAAAACACATAGGATTACAAAGGAAATCAATTATATTGAAATAAAACTGTCATTTTCCCCTCTTCCAAGTTCATAGGCCCTCTGAAATCTATCCCTGGACCCCTTGAGGAATCTGGGTCCAAAGTTAAGAAACCTCTCCCTAAAGTAAATTCATTCCTCAAAAGCAGGGCTTTTAGTGAAACAAAAAGGCAGGGAAAGCGGGGACAAACAGGAGAAATGGGTTTGGGAGGGACTTTGAAAATGGGAGCAGATGGGAGCCAGAAATGTTTTCCTAACACCCAATGCCCTGGACTGATGGAAAGCTGGTGACAAATGAGATACTGCTGCTTGGATCATCTGTTTTTTGGAACCTTGGGAATCAACTAGACCCACCTATTCATTTTACATAGGAGGAAACTGAGCCTGGAGAGGGCACATGACTTGCCCAAGCTGGTACAGACTGGTAATCTGTATTAGAACAGGAATTCAAACTGGGTACTCTTGTCACCAAAGTCAATGTCCTTTCCACGCTGCTTCTGGGGACTGGGACCCAGAACAGGTAATAAATAAAAAGAAAAATGACAGTATCCTAAAGGCATGGGATGGGTTAGAAAACCAAAGGATACCATCCCCAGTCTTTTCCATTTGGAACAATATATTCTTTTAAATGAAATCATAAATGGTTCTCTTAAGCCCTGGTCCAGTCACATGGCCATACAGCAAGATGAACTGTGAAGTCATGGGATGGCAATCCACCTTGTTCTACTGGGGAGTGGCCACACCTCACTGTTCTGACTAATCCCTGGGTTGGAAGGATCCTCCAGCATCACCTAGTCCATCCTCATCCAAGGCTGCCCCCAAACCATGAACAACATACAAATCTCTATTATATACTTAAAATTCAATAAGAGAAAAACCCTCTGGCTACCCCCTAAATAGTCCCTACACAGTGTCTCAATAGGTTTTTAATCAGGAGCAACTTCTATCTAACCTAAGGCTAGAGTCAAGTGAGGCCACTTGTGTTACCATAAAGACTCAAAGTCGCCAGTGGACAGACAGTAATATAGGCAGCAGACAGAAATTTCCAAACCCTGCCTTTAAAGAAGGCAAATGCCTGGTAGGTTTCATGATAGGATAATAGGATCTAGGACAAGAAGGGACCTAATTGAACCTCTTTATTTTTTTCTTTAATGGATGAGGACATGGGGATCCAGAAAGGTGACACTCAGCCAAGATCACACAGGAAGTCAGCAGCTAGTATAGGATTTGAACGCAGGTCCTCTATCTCTTAATCTGGTGCTCTATCCATTACACTAGAAGTTATTTTCCTTTTAAATTATTCTTTTGTATCAGCCTGCTTCCTCTGCTTATGGCTAAGCTGGAGACTACCAAACTGTACAGGAATCTGGGTATGAGCCTCCCCTCAAATCTCAGCTCAGGCAGATCTCAATAAAGAGGTGATTTCTTGACAAGATTCTGCAGCTGATAAAAGCCACTGGGCTCCTCCTCTATGTTCAATAAATATTCAAAGATGTGAAAACTTGTTCCAGCTGGTTACCTCCAACTTCAAAAGGAGGTGGGGGAAGGAGATTATTTGCTTAGGAAGGAGGGGTTGCTGATAGGGAATCTTGAAATCCCAGGAGCACCCCGACCCCAAAGATCCCATCTCCTGGGGATGTAACCCATTTTCTAGAACATTTTGGGGGGTTTTTTGTATTTGTTTTGTTTTTGTTTTTAGAAATGAACCCAGATCGTTCTTCCCTGGAAGCCAGCACCTAGACGATGATCTCAGAACCCACCCCCCCTCTGCTGCACCAAGTCAGTCTGCTGAAATCCAAGATGAGGTCTTTATTTATTTTAAGCCCTGCCTGCCTGCCTGCCTGCCTCCCTCCCTCTTTCCCTCCCTTCCTCCCTCTCTCCATCTCCTGTGAGGCTCTGCAGTGAAGCTCATCAAAATCAATGACTTCTTAGCGTCTGGAGAACAGGGGGAGAAAGGGAGAGTGAAAGAGAGAGAGGGAAGACCTGAGAGATGGAACTCACGGTCAAAATATGGACAATAACCGAAGAGCCCAGCTCGCAATCCCATGCAATCCCCATAATGCAATGAGAAGATGGCAGAGACATATATGGGTATATATCATGCGTCAATTTCCTAATACGAATGTCAATCAGGACTCGAGTTTCATATCAAAATGGGCATAGAAACAGCCCCTCGCCAAAAGCAGGGGTCACAAAGAAGTGCACTCATACTAATGATGTGCCTCCCCCCCCAAAAAAAACCACAAGGTTTAGATACACATTTTGCTAATAATACATGGAAGCTATATACAGTGAGTCCTAGCCATAAAACTTTTGGGGTGTGCCTGGCTCTCTCAGCAAACTAGCTTTCCTGAAATCAGTCTCCCCCAGACTACAACCCATACGCCCTTTGCTGGGAGAAATTCTGTTCCCCCAACTTAAAGGCTAGCTGAAGAAGAAAGCGGGGATCCGAGTCTGAGAAGGTTATTACCGGCAGGGAGCATTTGTCTCTGTGCCCTCAAACTGGAGGCCACCAGACACTCCTACGAATGCTAGAAGGGTGTGGAAAAGACAACCCTAAGTAAACACCGTCTTGTGGCACCACCAAACGCCAGGCAGCACACCCCAGGCGGAGCTAAGGACAATGAAGCAGATACTATATTAAGCCAGGAAAGAGTTTCGATAGTTTTAACATCCCCATGTAGGTAAAGGACTCAGGTATGTGTGCTGCCCTCCTTTTCTCCTCCCTTCCTCCTAACTCCAACATTCATCAACAGGGCTCAAAGCCCCAAAATAAGGACCTGTGGGACCACATAAAAAAGATAGGTCCAAGGACCTGGAATATGGAGTTAAATGTCAGTATCACGTCTGCCCCACAAAGTCAAATCCAGCGGAAGAGGACTGACTGTGTGTGAGGGAACGGAGGATGTTGTCTTTTTTTTTTTTATTTAATGTAAGTATTATTTAGAAAAGGCTGCAGAGGGGGGTGGCAGCAGGAATTGGGACCCTGCCATGAAGCTCTTTCTGCCTTCTAAGGGACCCGCCTCTTTCAAACGCCAAGGGATCAGTCCCATTTCAGCCAGATGAGCCCAATGAGCTCCTGCTACTTGTACTGTTTTCTCACAGCTGGGACTCCCAGTCACCAAAGTGAGTAAAGCCACTACCCACAAAATGTGTCGTATATCATTTGGAATCTACAGTCTGAGCCTTCACTCTCTTGCCCATTGAGACAACAGGAGATGGAATACCCAGCACAGATGTATAATACCAGTTGTTATTTTGTTTTGGTTTTTTAATGAAAACAAAAATAATAATAATTGCTCCCTGGGGAGACTGTAGCCAAGTTGCACTCAGAGGTGCATTCTTATAACTGATCTATAAACTTCTGAAAATAGTAACTTATCTTGAAAAACTCCGATGCCTTGCCAGTCTGGTGCCTACCGCTGGAATGCTCATCAGCTTCTCCCTTTCAGCCCCTGCTTACAAATCCTTTTCAGCATCCTGGCTCTTGAATCCCTAAAATCCAAGAGCAGAGATCCCTTGGAATTGCTGGGGAATGGATTCCCAGGGCAGCCCTTGAGGAGGGGGAGAAATCCTTGCTCACTTCTGGGGCCAGGTTTCTTCTTGCTTAGCCTTGCCACACCCTTACCAGTTTCCGAGGTGGGCCCAAAAGGACCCAAGGACAGGAAAGAGAATATGGCAAACAGAACTTGGCAATTCATCCCTTTTAAAACAAAAACTCTGAACAAGCGAAATGAATTCCTCTCCAGTCCCCAGCCCCACAAGCAACTTCAGTAAAATGGTAGCACCAGAAAGGCAGTGTAGCACCCGGCAAATATGAAAACAGAGCACCAAAAATACCAGACAGATAGAAAAATGGATCTGCCCCTGGTGGGGCAGAGTTTCTATATACACAAACTAGGCCTCATCAGAATGTTCCAAAGTGGAAACACCCTGGACCTTGTGCCCATCCCTTGTGAAGACTAGCAGGCCTCCATTCCCTCATCTGTATCCACTGGTCACTATCACCAGAGTTTTGACTTTGGCCATGGGAAATGCGCTAGCCTTGTCCCAGTGGACCTTCGCTTCCTGCGCCTCAAACTGGGAGGGGACAAATGTTCATACTATGAGTCGCATAAAAGGAACGGGAAGGCCCGTTCTCAACAAGGCATGCAGAGATGATAAATATTCCTATTCTCTCTTATATATATATATATGGATTTGTATATATATGGATAGGTTTCTGTTTCTATTTCTGCTGCTGGATATCTGAAGATCGCCTCCAGTCCAATTCGGCATTCCCGTTGCCCGAGGCGTTTTGATGTCCTCCGCTTTCCGCTCATGGTGCCACCCTTCTGGGCCAGTGGCTACTCACATTCCGGATTCCCTCCAGGAAAATGGGATCCAGCTCGCTCCAAGGACACAGGATTTTCTCCAGCCTGGGGGGAAATAAAAGATTTGCATCTCGCTCAATATGAGAACACCAGTGACTTCTGCTAATCAATCAACCGGCATTTATTAAGCATCTATTCTGTTCTGGGCACTCAGGAGAACAACAACAAAGTCTTTGGCATTTAGCATTCCAGACTAGAATGTGAGGCAGTGTGGTACAATGGAAAGAATCTTGACTCTCAGGAAGCAGAGAACCTTGGCCAAAATCCTCCCTTTCCTGCTTATTTGGTCACCCAACATCTTCAGTTTCTTCATCTGCAACATGAAGGGACTGGACTTAGTGACCTCTGAATTCTCTTCCACTTCTAGATTTATAATCCTTTGTATGACCTTGGGCAAGTCAATTCCTTTCTCTTGGCCTCAGTTTCCTCATCTGTAATCTGAAGGGGTTGGATTAGATGGACTCTGAGAACCTACGGATCTGTAAGATCCTCTTAGGCAGACAGAACCATAACTAGGGTGAGGTAACTGGGCTTTGTCCCAAGGAAGAGAATTTGAAGCTCCACTGAGGTGGGAAGGGACATTCTTCCTCCTCTGCCTACACTACCCCTCTACTGCCAATTTCCTCCTTCTTCAACAGCAGAGAAAGCAGATTGGGCTCCCTCTTTCCACACACTCCCAGCAGTCACAGCTCAGGCATGTGTACCCCCAATCACCTACTGCCACTTGTGCCAGGTAAAGCAATCATTAATTATGTTTATGAAGCCAAGAATCAAATATTCTATTTCTCTCCTAATTCTCATTGGCTCAGAGGATCAATATTTGCCCAGTACCCACTATACCCACAGTCTGTATTAGGTCTTTGGGTAGGGGCCCCCCAAAATGGCTTGTGTCTTACATGTGGATTTCCAGTCCTTGAGTTTTTATAGAGTTTTATAGTGCCCACAAAACATGGTTTGTGTCCTACGTGGCCATTCCCAGTCCTGAGTTTTGATAGAATATACATAATCACATAGCAAGGCATATTCTACCTTCCAACCACTGAACAGAGAATCAATATAAAGTGTGAGATTTTTCAGCCATTAATTTGGATTAAAAGGCAGCTGTAAGAGTAGAGAGAGGCCAGATTAGGAGTCAGGAAGAGCTGAGTTCAAGTCCTCACTCTTATGCAAACTGTGTGACCATTGGCAAGTCATGTAATCTCTCAATTTCCCCCACTCCACCCTCCCACCCCCTATCCCCCAAGCAAGTCTCTTTCCTTTTTTTTTTTCTTTTTAGGCAATTAGGGTTAAGTGACTTGCCCAGGCTCACACAGCTAGTGTCAAGTGTTTGGTCTGAGGTCACATTTGAACTCAGGTCCTCTTGACTTCAGGGCCAGTACTCTATCCACTGCACCACCTGGCTGCCTTCTAGCAATTCTCTAAAACTGGAAATTACAGCAGAGTTTCTGATCTGCCTCAGTGGAGGGGCTTTCCACACCAGGAGTTCCCCAATTCAATTTTCCCATTCAGTTCCTAGATCATAGATTGAGAACTGAAAGGGCCCTCAGAGGCCATCTCATCCAATTTTCTCATTTTACAGATAAGAAAGCCAAAGGGAAAGTGACATATAGGATCAAAGATTGGGAGTGAAGTCATCAACTCCAACCCCTCATTTTACAGATGAGAAAATTGACACTCATATGACTAGCCCATGGTCACAGAGCCAGTATTAGAAACAGGATTTGAACCCACATCTTCAGGGCTCTAAACCAATGAAATAATAGATCTAAATGAACAAAAAATACAAGGCAATTAAAAGTCTATTACATATCAGTAAGGTCAATATTGACTTCACCATCTTTTCCCCCAACCACTTAGGTTTGAAACTCTTTGAAGCTTGAAGCTCTGTCTCTTTCTGGTGAACTATTTTAAAATAAGAAGCAGAGGAGTTGGACATAATCATGACAAGTCACAGCATTTTAAAGATGTAAGATGGTAGAATGGTTATGGTTTCATTAAGATTTTATTCTTTGTTTCACATGTATATTTGATTACATTATTGATAATTATCAAATTTCTAATTTTGGGGATACCAGCACAATACTTGAGTTGATCAAAGATCTTGCTCCATGTTGGCCCCTTCGTATTCTAGCCCTCCATGTTCATGATGACGAGGGAGAGAGGGAAGAAACATTTATTGAGCATCTGCAATGTGCCAAGCACTGTGCTAAGCAATTATATTAGTGCATTAAGGTTTCTAAGGTGTTTTATCCACAACAATTATATAAGGTAAGCAGTGCACCTATTATTTTCCCCATTTAACAGATGAGGATACTGAAGGTTATTGAGGTAAAGGGATTTGCCCAAGTTTTGCTTGGAGACCTCCAATGGAAGGGAAATGCACTACCTCCTATGGTAACCCATTCTACTTTGGGATGGCTCCCTTGATTAGGAAGCTTTTCCCAATGTCAACGCCAGACTCGCTTCTCTGTAGCTTCTACCCCATTCTCTTGGTTCCTTCCTAAAATTCAACCTCCCCAGAACTGGGCATAATACTCCAGATGTGAGCTAAGTAGGGTTACATACAATAGAGCTTCCTGGCTCTGGCCACTATTAGCTTTCGACTGGAACATATTTCTTTTGTTTGTTTATTTCATTCAGGAGCGCTTGCAGGGGGCAAGAAAGTAGCTTCATTAGAGTGTGCCCTGACACCTTTTAGAAATCAGAAGAAGCTTCTTCTGCCTTCATCTTCTTCCTTTTTTTAAACACCAAAATGAGCTAGAGTAGGGCACAGAGCTGGCACCAGTGTTAACAGCTTATAAAGCTGTATAGAAAGACCCTCTCCAGGGGAACAGTCATGGAAGGGGAGAAGGGTTACTCTGGTCCTAATTATCACTTAAATACTGATACATTTCTCTGGTGCTGACTTATTAGGAAGCTCAGAGCTGAAAGGAGGCTGTGATGTAAATCAGAATGATGAGGGTTACAGTTTGAGATATGTATGAGGAAAGGGAAGTTTGGGGTCTCTGTTTCCCAGGAAATTGAATAGTATTTCATCATCGTAGCTAATATTTCTATAGCACTTATTATGTGCCAAGCACTTTACAAACATTATGTCATTTCATCTTGACAACTCTACGAGGTAGGTGTTATTACATCTGCATTTTACAGATGAGGAAACTGAAATAGACAGGTGAAGTGACTTGCCCAGGGTCACACAGCTAATAAGTATCTGAGGTCAGATTTGAACTATAGTCTTCCTGACTTTAGACACTGCGCCAACTCAAGGCCCGGAGAGGCTCATCGCCTCATTGGCTGCAGGGCAATGATTTTTTGGTCATAGGCACTCTGGAGGAGCATCTGCTGAGTTGTAGAGGGTTGTAGTTTGGAAGGAGCAACCCCATTGATAAAATTGTAGTCTTAAGATATTATTATTGCTATTAATAAGCAACAAGCATTTATTAAGCACCCGCTACTAATTATTGTTTCCTTCCTTCCTATGGCTACCAATCCTGGTCCATCACAGCCCACATTTCATAAAGAGGCATCAGAGTAGGAAATTAGTGTGGACAATAATAATTAAAAATCACATTTTTTTTTTCTGACGCTTTAAGGTTTATTGAATGCTAGAGACTGAGGATGCAAAAACAAAGGAAGAAATAGTCCCTGCTTTCAAGTACCTTAAATTCTATAATAAAATCAGATACTGAAATAATAAAATCGGAGACTGAAATCATATTATATTCTACAATAAAATCACAGACATAGATTAAATCCAACCCTCTCATTTTACAGGTGAGGAAACTGAGGCTCAGGGAAATTAAGTGATTTGCCCTCAGCCACACAGGGAGTAAGTGGTAGAGGTGAGATTTGAACCCAGGTCCTCTGATACTAGAGTTAGTATTTTTTCCATTGTACCACATATACATATAAAAGTATAAGTAACACAGGATAGTGAGCAGCTAGATGGCACTGCAGTGGACAGACCACAGGCGTGGAGTCTGGAAGACTCATCTTCCTGAGTTCAAATCTGGCCTCAGACACTTTCTAGCTGTGTGACCCTGGACAAGTCACTTCACCTTGTTTGCCTCAGTTTTCTCATCTGGAAAATAAGCCGGAGAAGGCAATGGCGAACCCCTGCAGTATCTTTGCCAGCAAAGCCCCAAAAGGGGTCATGAAGAGTCAGACATGACTGAAATGACAGAGCAACAAGAATAGGATATGGACCAGACCTTATTTCATTGACAGAGAGGAAACACCCTACCTAAATGGAGAGTGGTACCTTCTCTGCAACTGATAGTCTTAGAAAGTTGCCTAGAGCTGTTCTCAGAGTGTGATCTGTGAACCCCTGGGAATCCCAGAGGCCTTTCAGAGAGGCAAGAGATCAAAATCATTTTCATAATAACACTATCTAATATGGTAATAACTCATAAACAATAGCTCTTGGGGGATCCCCAACAATTGTTAAGGATGCAGAGGGGTCCTAAAACCAAAAAGTGTGAGATCTATTGGCTTAGAGTATGAGAGATTAAGTGACTTGCCATGGGTCTGAATGTTTCAGATTTGGGATTTAAGCCTAGATCTTCCTGGTTTCCAGGCCACCTGTCTATCTACTATACCATATGGCCTCTCCTATACAGAATAAATACAAAATAAATATATACAAGGTAGTTAACTAGAAGTAGTTTGAAAGGGAGGGTCCTGGCATTCGGGGGCATCTGGGGCATTGTATAAATCTGTACTGTCAAAGTCAAATAGGAAAGGGGTCTCTAATCAGTAAGTAATTTAATCACTAAATTACTACCTGGGTGACTGTGAGCAAAATATTGACTTAGAAAACCACATACAGATATTGTCTAGTCACTTAATCCAATTTGCCTCAGTTTCCTCATCTGTAAAATGAGCTGGAGAAGGAAATGGCAAGCCACTCCAGTACCTTTGCCAAGAAAACCCCAAATGGGGTCGCGAAGAGTTGCACATGACTGAACCCAGTAAACAACTGTATTTTTATTTATTTTGTTAAGTATTTCCCTGTTATACTTGAATCTGGTTCAGGCCTCATGCAG